TACAGACTTACCATGCAGACATAAAACAAGCCGCATCATGTCTATCTGTGTACAACCGATTCCTGTAATACCATGTATCGTTTGCGATGTTGTAATCATCAATATCACTCACGCTCGACAGCTAATGGTCATGTGATCTCGGGTTGATTGCATAACCTCCACATAAGTATAAAGACTGGTCAACAGACACAAGACTGGCATAACAACGACCGTAGCGCATATTTAGTTTCGGTGTCAACCTGGTAAAATTGGAAATGAATATTAAAATAAAACTTTGCTTGTTTTGTTTTCAAAAGACAGGGAGAAGAAAAAGTTAAACTTTAAGATAACTAAATAAAAATTCATACTTGTTCGAATGGGGATGAAAACATTCTACACTGTTCAAAATTGAAAATGGTTCTGATTTTCCCATTGAAACACCATAACCACCAGCGATATAAAGTTGTCCGCCAAATTCTGCCGCGCATGCGCCCATCCCCCCTTCCGTCATTGCCTTGACAAAGTACCAGCAGTTAAAGGATGGATTGTAACACTCCACTGAATTGAGAATACTTTAAATAAGCATAAGCTCATGAAGTATTTTAGTAACATTTTAAGCATATTGAAGTGTGTACGTAGAAGCTATTAAGTAATGGTTATAAGCCGAAAACTGTCCATTATGTCAGATATTAGACGACCCGAGGCGCGTTAGCGCCGAGGAGAGTCTAATATCTGACATAATGGTCAGTTTGAGGCCTATAACTTACTTAAAACATTTCACCATTGTCGAACACTTCCATTATTAACTTATTGGACAGTCACAGGTAAGGTCTCGTTCTGCTTGGATGACTACCTGGCACTGTTCATCAAGTTAGGCCAAAGAAAACTAGTTTTGGTTTTCCTTCTGTCTTTATTAATAGTAGGAATCAGAGTGTTTTATATCGATAAATGTGAAAATTAACTTTGTTTAGTCTTATTTATCCGCATTGCGACATTTTTTATATATACTACGCATGCGTAAAAGTCAGTTCTTTTAAACTCTTTACAATTTATTCATTTTACAACGCAACGACCACGGATGAAGAAGTACATTTTAATTTCGAAAAAAAGACCTTCAGAATCGGGTGTTTTGACGATGCCATATATTGATTACACCAAGATGCCTCAGTTCAGGTTTTTACTGTGAAATCCGGATATATATTCTTATGTTTTGGAATTTGCAAGAAACAGTTCCCGTTAAAAGGTAATTTTTGTAAAGCAATAGGATTTGAATGATTTTACTCAAACAACTGTTTATTAAAGCATTTTCTATGAAATTGGGAGATTATTCCTGATGTATTTTTTAAAAATGCAATTCTATTTTGGGAGCCGGTTTCGAACTCGGAAGGAATTTGCTCCAGCCACTCCTTAAAACGACAGATACTCGCTTAAACGACACAGGACTAGGTGGACAAATGGTTATAAATCACGTTGGAATTTCGTGAGCTAAATTTTGTGCTAAATGCGGAGAAACGGATATTTGAATATATAAACAAAAAGCCCAAGGTTTTGTGTAAGAAAACACATGCTTCTCAATCTTTTGTGTCCATTGGATTCTAAATTTTGTGGATCAATCATTGTGAAATTAATATTATTTAAGGATATATATTAACAAAAAGCCCAAGGTTGTGTGTGAAGAAAACACGTTTATGCTTTATCACACAAGCCAATCCATCTCTTCATGTGTCCAGTTATTCCTTATATTTACATGGATTCCGCCAATATAAGCCTGCTTCTCTCTATGTTGTCGTGTGGTTTTTTTTTGGAACCGCGCCAAGACATCATGAGGAAATAAATTACATTTACAATTGGTAATTTTATCTTGGAAATGTATATATAGAAATGAACGGTGAATTTAGGAAATTTATGATCGGAGCCACGGATGCGTTTACAATAATGAATCTGAGACATTCAATTCACTGGATTATTTGTGCCATTTTCAATAGGATTTTTTTTTGAAATATTAACATTTAACGCTACTAATTTCCTACATTGTTCATATTAAATTGTTTGATTTGTCATTGCCTTTTACGTGGTGTTTACTTATTTGCCTCGTCTTTTGTTCTCATTTTAACGTTACCTGTACCTGTCCAATAAGTTGGATCTTATTGGACACCTACAGGTAACTTATTGGACGGGGTGCAGGTCAATAACAAATTTATTGAACCAGGTTCAACAAAAGATGACGTCACAAAAATGTTTTAATTAACAATATTAAAAAGCTTTTCAAAAGAAAAAGTAAATGAAAATGTGCAGAGTTTCGGAATAAAGTCAGATAATTTATATAACCGTTAAAAAATTCACACTTGAAAACTATTGTTAGCAATAGTTTCCTAGGGGTGGGGTGTTGGTTTTGGGGGTGTGTTTAATGTTACACTAAACTACATGCAGTAATTATGTTCCCCAAACGAAGTTGGGGAACATACTGTTTTTACTCTGTTTCTTATTATTATTATTATTTTTCTTCTTCTTCTTCTTCTTCCTGGGTACTTTTTTCCGGGAATGATCTCGTAAACTATACATCCGACTAAGGTGAAATGTTTTTAGGGTCAGTAGACATGTTATGTAGATTTGTGGAACGAAGGTCATTTTCCGCGCACGTGCTTGCAAGAGCGTGCACGTGCAACATGTGAAATGACCGATTTAATTGATATAGGCGTAACTTTTTTAATTTTTGATGAAATGCTTTGAAACTTATAATATAAGGATATATTAGAAGCATAGACAATATGACATGGTCAAAATAGCAAGATCTCACGCGCATGCACGTGCGCTTTGCTCTGATTGGCTGAAACTAAAGTCTCAATATCTTTCTTATTTTTTGACGAAATCCTTTGAAATTTTAAAAATAGCCATGCATTAGGATATCTTACAACAAGATATATAGCAATTATCATGAAAACACGTGCATGCACGTGCGCTGCAATCTGATTGGCTTAAACTTTAAATAGCTATAACTCCTTTGATTTTCAACCAAACAGGATGGGATTTGGAACATAGATAGATACACTGGACTACTACAAAAGGTATGGTCACCATGCACATGCATACACGTGCATGTACCTGCGCTGCATTCTGATTGGCTGAAACTTTAAACAGCTATAACTCCCTTGGTTTTCAACCAAACGGGGTGGGATTTAGAACATAGATAGATGTAACGGACATCTACAAGAAGATATGGTCACCATGCTCATGTATGCACGTGCGTGCACGTGAAATGAGCAAAATAAATAAAAGAACACTTGAATGAGCGTATCTTTTTATTACTTTTGGATTAAATGCTTTAATATTTAGTATATATAAATTGTGTAGACAAGATGATATGGTCATTACGCACATGCATTCACATACGCACTCAAAATTTGAATGAACTTTGTACACTTCTGGGTAAACGTTATTAAAGTCTCAAATGCATCGAGTTTGTCGTATTTAATGAAGCTTACAGGGAATATGGCACCAAAAGGGAGTTGGGGAGCGTTTGGGGAACATCTGTAACGGTCCCCGTTACAATTAGCACTAGTTATATAATAACGTTCTTTTATTGCCTCCATTGATTCCACCGTAAAATTTTGAGTAAGTCTAGATAAACAACGATCTTAAATTAAAATTAATTTCTGCAGTAATTTTGTTTTTAAAATACATTGTACTGTTTGAAAAGAAGCAGAGAAGTGTTTTATAATGTGACCAAAAAAATTAAAAAGCTAAATATTTCCAAATATATCACTGTTAAATTTGAAAAAGAGTGACAATTTATGGGTCAAACCTGTGGTCTTCTCCTATTCCACCCAGGGCATAAATCTGGCCGTTGATGACACATAAGCAGTGATACATTCTTGCGGTTAGGAGGGGCGCGGCAGGTTTCCATGTGGAACACCTCTTATCATACATCAGAACGTCTCCTCGTGGAGTGAGCACACCTTCTTTAGTTAAATAGCCACCTGAGTGTAACACATTTCAATATTTTATTTTTTCTAGATTTTAATTTTGTTTGCAAGATTTAATTTGTTTATCTTTCTTAAGAGGTGGGGGTGTTTTGTTTTGTAAGCATATATATATAATGTATATACTTTGTATCATCTTTTTATTTATTTTTATATCATTTTTTTAAGGAAAAGTGTTCGAATGAGCAAAAGGTGTTCTCTCTTTAGTCAGTTGAATTATGATCTTATTGGACAGTACAATTACCTATCATGTACATGCGTTTGTTGATAAAAACATTAGTGTGATTTTGACTGGGGTCCATCTTCAATCCTTCATCTATAAAGTATCAGTCCAGAACAAGCTCCAGACAGCTCAGTATTACGTTACGCTACAACTCCATATTATGCATTATTCGTAGGGCACGAAAGTAGTCCCGGAGAATTGACACTGTATGGAGTTTGATAACATTAGCAAGAACGTAAACAATGTCCACAGAAGTGTTGGAGGGGTGCATAAAGATGATTGAGGGTGTTTTTGTGCAAGTATTGAGATTTTTACAGTACAAAAACAATGCAAGCGCGAGGTCGAATGCCAGTCTTTCAGATATATTTTACCTAGGATGTTATATTGATACTATACGTTTATGATTGCATAGGTACAACTCCAATATTTCTGAAACCTATATGTAAACAGAAAACGTAGCAAATAATTTGCTCTTATGCCTTTAAATAATACTTTTCGTTCATTGTTTTTATTTGTGCACAATTGGTATGATATGCAGATGGGATTTTCCTACTTTCGTTTCGACGGCAAATTTTCTACATACGAATGAATTTACGCAGTTATAATAAAAAAATCAATACAGGCTACTGATGTTGTATATGAAGTTTTAGACATAATTTTGCTTGCAAGACATTGTATATCTTGCTTATAATCTTTTGTAAGTAGTAAATAGTAATAGGCATCCAGGAAAGTCGTATAATGTAAATGCACCGTCCCTTGATGTCTTTTGTATTGTAATGCTATACAGCTCCCTGATGGAAAGGTGACACCAGGGCACTTGGACAAGTGGTCCAGAATTTCACAGAGCTGGTTATAAGCCCTTCTTCCTTAACCTTTTGTAGTTTGAACACCTCGAGATATCCAAGGGACGGAAGTGACGACTTTTCAAAAAAATTTATCTATTTCCACTTTTTATACTTTCTAAACAGACCTGCTCAAACACTAGAATCCCTTAAACAGGGGTCAGGAAACTCACAATTTTGAATTGAGCACAATTGCTTATCATTATTATGCGCATTAAGTTAGTTTATCAGCTAAAAATCCTAGAGCAGTCAATGAAGAATTTAAAAAAATGTGCATTTCATTTTCGACAGAACGCTATACCGTAACACTAGAACGCATCATAATGGGCCATGAAATTGACAATATTTTAATATATATACACTTGCTCATCATACCTTTGAACTTAGATTGATCACTTACTAGTAATACCAAATTCAGTGGAGAAGACATAAACAAGGTTACCTACAGTGTAACAAAAAGCTGACACACACTGGATTGTTGTTTAATGTAGGAATTTCTGTGTCACTTTAGTTAACATACATCTAGAATCAAAAATATGTGGTTAAAAGACAGATCGATATCAAGTCCCGAAGTCCATTGAAACAATAAAAAAAAAACGAGAGCAGAACAAGGACCTGGGATCAGGTACCATGTAGAAGTAAGAATCCCCTGTCGACCGGTCACACGTGATGAATGTTCCTTGTCATGATTAGGAAAGCAAAAAAATCCACAGACAACTCAATACAGTAAGTATGACAACCTTCAGGCAGCATTCGATTTAATGATAAATTAAATTGTATTTCCTGACAAGGTCATTTTGTCGCCGATAGAACTTACTTTCGAAATGATGACTTTAAATGAGGCTGTTGATATTCGTTTTTATGTAATTGTTTGTAAATAGATTGCCTCGCTAAACAAAATGTTCGTTGGTATACAACATCCTCATCTGTATTGAATGAACTGGAAAACAAAAATCTCTTACCTAGGTAATTAAGATGTAATTAAGATGCACAGTGTATATTGCTACATAAGACAGGAAAGTTGAAGTCATCACCACTATTTTGAAATTTCTTTTGCTAGATTACAATTAAAAAAATCAACTCAAATGGCGAAATATGACATAGATGTGTCAGACTTTGTGGTACCGTTTCCTAATTCACTGGGATACTTCGAGTCGAAATTTGAATTGAAGAAACTCTTGTTAATTGATAATACATCGTCGATATATCTTTAACTTATACTAGAAGCTGAACTCCACAGCAGATGTTTAATTACTTCTTAGAAAGTTCGAATATTTTTTGTAAATAAAAAATGCTTAACATTATAATATACTATTTGTAAACATGAGTTGTCTCCCAACTATCTACAATGAGCTCATATATATTTCCAAAAAAGAAAAAAATATGAAGATCTAGATCTTTTCACTTTTTGAGTATAGATACTTAAATGCATATAAATCAGAAGATGGATATCAAAGTTCTGTCACCCGGGAGGCCTACGCCTTCGCTTTATGAAGCTGGTTTCGACCTACAACAGAAACAACAAGGGCACGCCCTCTTTCTGTCCACCGGGGGCACCTGCATCCTCGTGAACCCAAGAAACACCTGCTCCAGGGACGTCTGATGTACTGAATAATCTTCTACATTATATTCAGATTTTGTTTTCTCCATTTCTTTGAAAAGTTTTGCTAATGATAATTTTTGATGTGGAATGTGAATATCGAGATAGCCTTGTTGATCATCGAAAACTTCGGTTCCTGGAAACTCTCTACTTATATGATTACATAACGGACCAGAATCCACTGCGTTTCCGTTATTGTCACGTGCTAGTCTCACTGTCAAGGTGTAACCTTGCGCAAATTTGTTTTTTAAATGTTGGGGACTCCCAAAACACACGAATCTTCCGTTGACCATGATGACTATTTTGGTACAAAGGGCATCACACTCCTCCATGCTAATGGTAAGTAAAAGTAGTTTATTATATTATACTGACAGATTTTACTTTCAAATCATCTTATTGGTAGGAAAAGGAGCAACAATGTGCTAAAAACAAATTCTTACTTTTTAAATTATATGGACATTAACAACCATTTCAATGTTGAAAATGTTTTCAAAACAATTTTTTTGAAAGAGCTATTCATTTCTATCTGTTTTAAGTTATATCGTCTCTTTCAAAGAAACATGATTTTGTATAAATTACAATGATTTACAGATAAAATAAAAAATATAAAAATAGACCATGCTTTGAAATCAGATAAAACTTGGTTGGACTTGCATTTTCAATTTCAAAACTACAAAAGACAAACTCCAGCTCAAAGGACATTGACTGTGAAAAAACAAGAGGCCCATTTTCTTTACCATTCTTTTCTTTTACCATGATTTCCCCCTTGTAATACATAATGCATCCCCACCCTACCCCACTGATATAATTTAGACATTTTGAAATCTACACTACCCCATGAGGACAAATAATGAAGCATATTCTGACTGCTCTGTGTATTACGATAATGTTCGTAACAGAAAAAATTGAAACAAAAACAAAATTTTTAAGATTGAGACAGAAATAGTTATCAAGAAATACCTATTACTCTTCATATTTTCCTACTTGTGTTTATGTTTAGTGAAAAGGAAACTTTTTATCCGTGAATTTGTGAAAAATTAGGCAAAACTCCAAGTTCAAGGTAAAAGAGCCAAAATTAATGAAACCCAAAGTAATGGCTTGTTAAAAGGAAACTATATCTGAAATATTAAATCCCTAGCAAAGGATTTTTTTTTGATTTTGGTCAAGATTACATATTTTTTTAAAGGACAAACTCCACGGTCACGATCAAAAGGACATGATGATAAAATTGCAAAGGAAAGTTTTGTCACAAGAAATATACCTGTGAAAAAAAAATAACGGACAAAAACAAGGGCAGGACAAAAAGCTCACTTGAGCCTTCTTCAGGTGAGCTAAAAACTAAATTCTTCTCGAGCCTTCGGTTCAGGGCGAATCTTTTACTACAGGGGCATAATATTCTACCTGTGAGACGTTAAAACAAGCGTTCTTCCACTGGCTCGGACCTTAGAAAGTACATTCCACATTTGCCTTCGCGCGGCTGGATCCACGCCCGTCGTCGGTTCATCCAGCATCAGGATTGGAGGATCTCCAATCAATGCAATGGCAGTACTCAATTTCCTTTTGTTTCCACCACTTTAACAAAAGAACAAATAAACTGAATCATTAAATTTTTTCTATTTACTTTATAAAACGGAATATATGAATTCTGTTGCGAGAAGTTAAAACTTTTGGAATATTATTTTAGAGGAAAAAATAAAAACTTTAGAAAGTCTTTTTAACAATGTTGTTTAAGATTGGATAGAAATTATATTAAAAAAAAGGAAGTATAATTCACACTTATTCTAGCTGCTAAAAATTCAAACAGGGGAAACACAGATACACAATGTTTGTACCTGTATGTCCCACACAGTTTGTCTGCATATTTTGTGAGCGTCACTGCGTCCAATAGGTCATTAATGACGCGACTGATCTCCTTCTCGTTAATCCCCCTCATTCTGGCGTAAAGTCTTAAAATCTCCCTTCCTGTTAAAGTGTCAATCAATGCGTCAAACTGGGGGCAGTATCCAAGACAACGATGGACCTGTGGTGTAATAGAAGTAACAATATACATCCACAAAAAAATTTGAAGTACTTGAAATAATAAATATTAAGGAATTTAATATGTTAAATAAATCCTGATTTATCCAGGACAATATTCATATTTTGACATTTCCCTCCAAGAAAACTTGTTTTAAGGCAAACTTGAACATACCACATGAACATACATATTAATGATATTATGCACAATTGTTGTAATATTGTTAAAGTGAAAAACAAAACTACTCGTAATTGTAATTACAAAAAAAAACTGCAATCTTAACAAGATTTTTTCCCTTTGTTCCGGTTACGTCAAAAATAAGGGCCAAATGTATTACAAACTTAATTATATACAGAAATTCAAAAACAAACCTGCTGAATCTGACTATCAACACTTAAACTATTGATGTACGCATGCCCACTACAGCTCATTACATCGCCTGTCAGCATCTTAAATGTTGTCGTTTTCCCAGCGCCATTTTGACCCAACAATCCAAAGCATTCTTGTTCAGAAATTCCTACGCTTATTCCCTTTACTGCATGAAAATGTTCGACGACGCCATATGTTTTCTTTAGGTTTTTGATTATAAGTTTATCAGTTGTCATCAGGTCGCCTATTTGAGTTAAGTGTATTCTCATTGCTTCTTCTAAAACGTCCGAATCCGGATTAATGCTGGGATCATTATCCGAGTCTGTAGCTCCGCCGTTTGGACTACACAGAGTTCGGTAGACAAAACGCTGTATTACTCCGCTGTCCAAGAGAAACACTAAAGTCATAAAAGCAACCCACTGTATTGACATCATCAACAGGTATCGACCACATCCTGGGTAGTCCCACTCCAAATAATTGTCATTTGGACACATTTCTTCTAAATTGAAATTTTATAAAACATAATGTTAAGAATGCTGACTATACATTTTACAACAAGAAAGGAAGCAGATAGTTTTTTAAATAAAATAATCCATATTTTCCCCTTAAATTCAAATATAATTTAAAAACTTTAGATGCGTTGATAATATTACTTTGAATTTGGTACCTTTAGTCAAGAAGGTTTGTGTAATATTTTGATTTAAATCTTTATGGCATTGTAATCGAAGATCGTATCGCACATAGATATTCGTAAATGTTTTGCCCAAGCAGAAATGAGGCAAAATTATCATGAAGACTTTATCCATCGCGTCGGAAGCACTTTTGGTCTCTGGACTTAGATGCAGGAATGTGACCATCAGCAAGGTAAACAAACCTGAAAACAAAACAAATAGTGCGAATGTGGCAATGGTATGCTCAGTACTTCAGAAGGATTTTGACCGGCATTTTATGTTCTGATCCCTGCTTTTTTCTTATATTGAAACAGAAAAACACATGCATGTAAAATGTCGGCTATGGAGTAACTCACCTGCTACCGTGTTGATTATTATCATAGCTACTGTTCCACCTGCAGGCGATCGGAAGATGAAATGTAAGAGATAGGTCCATGCAATTGAAGCTAAACCAAACAGGAACAGACTCAGGAACACAATTCCCAGTCTATTTTCTTCTGTATATGGTGGAATTTTGAACCCAGTAAAACAAAGCAGGATAAGAAATATTGGAATCAGGTAATGGATGAAATCCCATGTAAAATTGGCCGAGCAGAAGACGGTGGAGCCGACCCCACTGACCTTTTGTAAATGTTTGGCCCCAGAGGACTTCTCTTTGATATGAAACACGCCAAAGGAAGCTACTAAACAGGACAAACCAAATAAAACACACAAAGCAATGGTGAGACCTTTAAAAGATGCCAAACCTGATCCCTGGTCTGAATAATAGTTATCCTCCATAGGTGGAAATGGGTGATTTATAGTCTGTATGCTTCTAGAATGACCATAGTAGAATTTAAAAAGAAAATCTATCGTGTAGGACAAACTAATTCCAATTGCATGACGATCTTCACCGTTATAGTAACTAATAATGTGGCTTCTATTCAATCCAAATCCAATGACATATCGCGAATTAAAAGGTCTTTGCCCAATCCGCTGATTATGATCCAGCCAAAATTTGTTAATGTTAAACTCTGAAGGAGACCTGGGTTCATACTTCACAACCTCTAGACCCAGTTTTCTGAAATAGTTCTCATACTCTTCTGTCATATGTTCTGAAAAGGATGTGGAGTTTGGTCCTTGAGTCACAGTGGTTAGGGCATTTGGAAAAGGTTCTAAATCTAATTTTAAAGGAGGCTGCGATTGCTGCGTTAGATTGTTCAGCAAATGATCACCCAAAAGTCCTAATACTGTCAGTAATATAGGAACAGCAAGTTGAATTATCATCATAAATCGGCTTCGCCAGGTATGTAATGCTTTCTTCATCAATAATCCCAGAAATTGTTGGAATATGGCTGTACTTCCAGTGTTCTTTTCGAGTCCCATGTTAAAATCTATATAAAAAGAATTTATCCATCCACATTAGAAGTTTTATTAAAGTACAAAAATATAAAACTTTACTGTAATCATTCTTCCTAAGATCACCCTAAGAGGTACCACTAATAATAATATACTTTATTTTAAAAAGGTTCCCTGGTTAGCACTCGCACTCCAATATGCTGATTACAGATAGAAATAAATCGTACATTTATTTACCAGATACACAGTAACTTTTTGCCTCAGTTTAAATATATATCAAAATATGAATTAATAAGAAACAAGCATAAACCTTAGAGTTTGTTCTACCTTGCAATAATAATTCAAGTCTTGTGTTCATCGAAATCTATGTTTGCAAACATACCTTTATCTTGTTATTTGTCTAAATTATAGAACTACCGATACTAAGGAAAATTGAGACCATTGAAATTAGGCATCTTACAACTGTTTTCCAGGATAGCAAGAACTTTCGGTCCGACTCAAATCGTGCAAAAGTTATCTACGAGAATACTTGCATATCTAGTGAACATTTTTTCAAATCGAGCTTTTGCGCAGATGAGGCGAGAACCAAGCACGATTTTTAATAAATACATTTTTTCTACAGGTGGCATTTTAGCTCGCTAATTTCCGTACATTAACTGGGCTTTCTTACCCAGCACATCACTTATTTCTGTGGTGTATGACCGAGGGGACGATCCCCCAGGAGCCTGGAGAAGGGCATGCTTTTCGTCCGTAATCTCTTCTTTATAGGTCGTGTTAACTTCTGTATTTTCTTTCACTCTGAAATGACCGGAATGATTGAAAAAAATAAATACAAATGTTTATTTCCACAATACAAAATTATATATATATATATATATATATATATATATATATATATATATATATATATATATATATATATATATATATATAAGTTGACGTGACGAAAGTTGACATCTTTTCAAAACAAAAATGATCTAGACAACGATGCAAAGAGAATTACAACAAGGAGTTGCAAATGTGTATTAACAATAGTGCGTTAATTCACTCGAATGCTATAATAAAGATAATTTATCATGAATTGATTTATAATCTGTTTTTCACTCATATGGTTTGATAAAGCAAAGGAAAAGTCACTAGCTCACTTCAAAAATACTTCTAATAAAAATTGTGTTCCATTGTTGTTTTGAATGCAGGACAGAAATTCCAAAGCCACTTATCCCAAGTCTTTGATCGGAGCATTTTCCTCAAGATTTGTGACTACGGACATCTTTTCTGCAAAGGACAACAAGGAACTCTTCATGAAGATTTAAATCTGTTTTGGTTTGATAAAGAAAGGAAAAGTCACTAGCTCACTCCGTTGTCCCCAACCACTGCTTTCCTCAAGATTTGCAAAGGACGGTAACTCTTCTGAAATACGGCTTCTTATTGTTTCTAATAATTTGGTCGCATCGCAACTTGGTTCTTTGACCATCACTAAGTGATATCCGGCTCCTGTAATTTATGATTTATTTTATAAATGAAATAAATATACGCTGTATTCCTGAACGGTGCTTAAACTGAAAAGGGTTAAAATCTCCATTACTAGCATATGATACGGAGTTTCTTCTCTAAGCAAAGCTTTTATACAGATTTTTTTGTTTCAAGCTCTATATACTCTGCACAGAGATTTTTTATGTAGTGAATTGTTTTTAGTGGATCCTGATTTATAATTCTATCATAAAATTGCTTTTACCATAAAGCTTTTTAAGGAACAATGAAGAACCACAGCACTTGACAACTCCGTCGGCCATGATGGCAATACGGTCACCAAGAACATCAGCTTCATCCATGAAATGCGTAGACAGAACAATAGTTCGGTCCTCTTTAAATTTCTGAAGGATATCCCACAATTGGCGCCGTGCACCGGGATCCATGCCTGAGGTAGGTTCGTCTAATATGATTACCTAAACAATATTCAGAAACCATATGTATAAAATGTATGATGATACAAGAAAACAAAACATACAAATGATTCAAATTCAAAGTGTTATTGATATCAATTTTAAGGAATTAGTAAATCAAATAAATTGTATTACGTATTAAAGATTTCTTCTTTTTTTTAATTTTCAAAATTTGTAAAATGAAAGTATTAATCATGAAACGATAGACCAAAGGATTTAACGGATCACATCTGTTTACTTAACTCTTAAGAGTTCAGCAAAAGTTTCAAAGAACAAAATGAACATTGTTTTTTTCATCATTTTCATCATAAAGTCTGAATAAAGACCGAGTTAATGAATTTATCACCTTGACATTTGTCCCCCAAACAATAGGGGTCTTGGCCAAAAGGAGTTGATAACTTAAATTTCACTAACAAAACTAAATGCTTCTCGAGAAATCGCTAGGACACAAAAGTGTGAAACAGAAAGTCGGTACTTTAAATGGAAGCGGGGACCAAAAAAAAAATACCTTTGAGCCTCCAACCAATGATATGGCTACCGATAATTTCCTTCTTTGTCCTCCAGATAAGTTTCTTGCAAGATCATTCTGTTTCCCCTCAATCTTGAAAATGCGTAGTGTGTTCGTGATATCTTCTTTCATTTTGGATTTATTGCATCCTTTGAGCTATATCAGAGAGCATAACTTAAATGTTACTGCTGTGTGATTTATTTAAGTAAAGCATCTATTATGACTTTATTTTATCTGAATTATTTATTGAACAACAGCACACAGCATTCTTAAAAGCCTGTTTTGGGTATTTTGTATTACTTTGTAATAAAATTCTAGATGTTCCTTCACAGTAAGCGTGTCAAATAAAATATCATGCTGAGGACACATTCCAAGACTTCCCCGCACACTAATGATGTCATCATTTATGTCATATCCGTTAACTCTAGCAGAACCGGAAGTTGATGGAATAAATCCTAATTTAGAAAAATAATATTTATAGCAACAAGAGGCCCACGGGCCTTATAGGTCACCTGAGTATCACGTAACAACTTTCATACTTAATTGAACACCCAGGAGCAGAGAAGAAGATTTTCAAAGAGAAAATGCTTTTTCACTACATAATCTATATAGCCCCGCCCTAACACATAAGAACCCCTGACCCCAGGGCCATGAAATTCACAATTTTGGAAAAGGCTGCCTTATTCAACAAAACTATGTACTTGGTTTGTTTATCAAATGCCCAGGAGAAGAGAAGAAGATTTTCAAAAAAATAATAAATTTTCACATAATCTATATAGCCCCGCCCTAGCACTAGAACTCCTGACCCTGGGGCCATGAATTTCATAATTTTGGTAGAGGACTCAATGCTGATTACAATTATGCAAACAGTTTGACTGCTTGATGTTCAGGACTAAAGAAGAAGATTTTTATAGATTGCATTAATTTTAGTGGTTTTGGCCCCACTCCTCAGCCCCCCCCCCCCCCCCTCAGCGGGGCAGGGGCCATGAAATTCACAAATTCGGAAGAGGGAGCATTATTCAACATAATTATGTATTTGGTGTGTTTATTAAATACCCAGGAGCAGAGAAGAAGATTTTCAAGGAAACAATTCTTATTCACTATATAATCTATATAGCTACCCTAGCACCTAAGAACCCCTGACCCCAGGGCCATGAATTTCATAATTTTGGTAGAGGATTCAATGCTTATTACAATCATGCAAACAGTTTGACTGCTTAATGTTCAGGAGTAAAGAAGGTGATTTTTAAAGATTGCATTAAGTTTAGTGATTTTGGCCCCACCCCTCAGGCCCCAGGGGGGCAGGGGCCATGAAATTCACAAATTTGAAAGAGGCAGCGTTATTCAACATAACTATATATTTGGTTTGTTTATCAAATACCCAGAAGCAGAGAAGAAGATTTTCAAAGAAATAATGTATTTTCACTATATAATCTATATAGCCCCACCCTAGCACCTAAGAACCCCTGACCCCAGGGCCATGAAATTCACAATTTTGGAAAAGGCTGCCTTATTCAACATAACTATGCACTTGGTTTGTTTATCTAATGCCCAGCGGCAGAGAAGAAGATTTTCAAAGAAATAATGCATTTTCACTACATAATCTATATAGCCCCGCCCTAGCACTAGAACCCCTGACCCCAGGGCCATGAATTTCACAATTTTGGTAGAGGACTCAATGCTGATTACAATTATGCAAACAGTTTGACTGCTTGATGTCCATGAGTAAAGAAGAAGATTTTTAAAGATTGCATTAATTTTAGTGATTTTGGTCCCACCCCTCAGGTCCCAAGGGGGCAGGGGCCATGAAATTCACAATTTTTGTCCCCCTACTCACATAGATGCTTTATGCCAAATTTGGTTGAAATTGGTTGAGCAGTTGCAGAGAAGAAGCTGAAAATGTTCAAATGTTAACGACGCACGACGGACGACGGACGACGCACGACGACGGACGAAAACAGAGTAAACTCAGGTGACCTAAAAATATATTGAATTGAAGAAAAATCAATCTGACATGATAATTTTTGAAGTGCAATTTTTTTTGACATGATCGCATGAAGATCACACCTGTTAACATTGACATCGCTGTTGTTTTTCCTGCGCCATTATGTCCAAGCAAGGCAGTTATCTGTCCTTGAAATATATCAAGAGACATATCCTTGACAGCAACAGTTTCTTTAATACCAGTTGTGTACACCTGTCAGAAATTGATATTTTGATACCTTTAAAGCTATAAGTTGTCAACAGTCCTTAATTACGCACTGTGGTACAAAGTTCTTATTTCATTTTGACTCTTTTTTAACTTGGGATAAATTGTTTAGAATATTCTACATCTTTCAGGTACATCCAAATAGTATTATAATTACTATTTTTTAAAATAAATTATTCATAAACTTTATCCATTTTTTCTAAAAGAACTGACAGTACTAGCATATATAACTGATAATTCTAGCAATACCTTTCGTAAATGCCTCATGCTTATTCCAATTTTTCGACCTGATGGCTCTTTCTCAAAATATTTTGGATTCTGATCAACATCTTCGTGTGATGTCTTGGGAATCTGCTTACCCCCAAACCAGTAAGTTTTCTGCATTTAAGATAAATAATGAATTTCATATATTTCTGTTCCCTTCGTTGTTAAAATCAATAATTTCATTTTATGAGAATTCCATAATATATCAAAAATTTCAAGATTGATTTGAAAAATTCAGAATATGTTATTCAACGTTTTTATTCTTTTGTGCTGTAGTTAAGATATAAGATAAAGTAAAATGATGATAAGACAAACTGCTTCATACCATCTTTACGTCGTTATTTAATTAATAGAAGGGAAAAAGTACCCAACTATAAGAGATAAACAGATACAGTGTACATGACTAATAGTAAATTCACATCTCTCTTTTCTCTCTATCCCTCTTTCTATCTTTCTCTCATCATAAATAAACTGCAATCAAACCGTAAATGGAAAATAAAATGGTTGTGGAACTCCGTATTCTCCAGGTCTGACGCCGTCTATGTACCACGTGATCAAAAGATAGATGGCACTATCTACCCAGAGCATCAAGATGGCGTCACCGAAGGCGAAATCTCCGTCCACCGTCGGGGGTTTGGTGAAAGTATTCCAATTAACCCCCGTACCTGGAAAATATTGATTATGTTGAAAGGCATTTAGATATATTTATAATTTATATCCTCATAATCGTGGTATGATAATCAATTCAGATTAATTTTCAGAGACGATATCTTTATAATTATTTTGTTACAATCAATGAAATCTAATTTAATATGAAAAATATATTATTCAACAAATACAAACATTAGTAAATTTTAAATATTTCAAATGTAAATACCCATTTGATTATAAAATATAAATGTAAAAGGATCTTTTATGTAAATAAGGAATTTTTACATAGTTACTTAATTGTGTATTATGAATCACCTTTTGTTTCATATTCTGATGCCGATGTAAAGCCAAATGCCATAGCCATATTGTTTAATAGACATATTGCCATCTTCTGGGGCTTCGTCATGTCCGAAAACTTTGAATCCAGCGCAAAATTTGGTATGATTGTAACAAAGAAGAAAAATCCGGCAAAATAAGAGGCAGTGTTTGCTGAAAGTAAACAGAGTAAATCTGTCATTACGTATGATAATGAAGAATTATTTTGATTTAGGCCATTCTACTAATCATAACCATGTATTTATTTTTTTCAAGTAATTAAAATTCAGGGGAAAGGAGAACTTTTACGAATTCATACATTTTCATATAATATGATCATTAGATCTTATTTTTCAACAGAACCTTGCCCAATACAAGCTCAGTATTAATTATAGTCTTGCCAAGAGTTTGAATGCTTGATTTCTAGGTATGAATATGAGAATTTGTATGGTTTTAAGACTCCTCAAATGGTTATTTAGGATAGCAGGACCAATAAAGTTCACAATCATTTCATCCTGTACAGTATATGACAATGGATTGGCAGTTTATTTCTTTAACCGTACGGTCACTAATGTATAGCTAGTCAGATAATGAAACAGAGTCAGGTTTTTACTATACTGATAAATTGATATTTAGTCCTTGAATCAAAATGAGTCCTCTGCATATTCTTCATATGAAGTCAAAAGTTATCAAATAATGAGAATGAATTTTTTTTTCAAGAACATTTTTCTATTAATATTGAAATGAAAAATATTTAACGTATCATTTGAGCAAATCACCTTTGTTAAAAAATGTGCTGAACAAAAAGCAGTAGGACACGACAGATACAGCGTAGGACAGATAGAAGAAGAAAAGTAAAGAGGAGTCAGAGAATTGGAACATCTTGTTGGGTCCAGCCTGAAAGATGAGAACAGTGATGGCGAAGGTGATGATCAGATAGATAAATCCTTTAAAAAACCAGGAGAACCAGTAAACAAAGGAACTCAGTCCCATCATCCTCATTGTTTCCTGTAAAAAAAGAAACAATATTTATTTCCCTTGATTTACTACAATTAAGGATTAATAATACTGCACTGATGATTACATAATTATATTGAAAGAAATCTCTGTCACCATGAACTTTTTGTTGAAAACATGGAAATTTTTTTCAGTACATGGATAAAATACTTTACGATTACTTCTAATTTACATTCTCCAACGTTGCTTAAAAGAACATGTTCATCAATGCTTTTTTCAAACTGACCTCATATTGTTATGTAGTTAGAATATCAGATTCTTTAACAAACAAAAATTGAAATGAAATATGTTACCACATGATCAATATATTGAGAAGGTAAAGACATGATATTACAGGGAATTACTCATGTAAATATACTTGTATGTTTTCCTTACTTTCAGTTTCTTTTCTCGATCATGGACGATTTCCTTCGTCAGTTGGAGTGCAGATAGAATAAGACCAACGACAGTGGTGATGGCAAAGGTGATTCTGATGAAATCCGCCAAAGGGTTTCTTGTATATGGTGGATACGGCATTCGTTGAATCATAATATCCGGTATACTGATAGAGGAATTGATATATTCCATAATAGCAGTATCTAGACTATATTTTAGACAAAGAAAGCCATTTTGGTATTCTGAAAAGAAAATGACTCATAATTCTGATAGATCAAACTTGTATACGTTTGTATTAAAGAGTTTCTTTAAATGTGAATAATAGTAAAAGTTAAAATTTTCTATGTATTAAATAAGTGTCATAACTCGTTGTGTTTATTTTGAATTGTATTAAGATATTTTACACAATAAAGGCCCCTTCTTCATGTTCTTTTGTTCAATAGATTTTATTGCCTTACGTTTTATCGACTGAAATATTATATTGAATTTCATATATCGATCAATATATCAACACTTTATATGTTGATAAGACGATAAAATATAACATCATATACAAAATTATAACACAATTGTAGTGCCCTTAATCGTTTCGTATTTTGCGTACCTGACATCATAGACGCAAGACGCAAAACAATTACGACAAAGTGCGACTTATTTATCTTACGAAAAGTCCATACTTTTATCCGGATGCGGTTTTAATTTGTTAATTACTTATTTATTGACGTGAAATGTTTTTAGATAATTTCAAAAGTAATTTAGCAAGTATGTATCTATTTATTCTGGTGTCATTGTGCATACAAAACACTTGATTCACATTATTTTGGAAATTAACACTTTGCACTCTGTTCGTAGGATCAATATATCATTTAATTCACAGAATTCAGGGTTCTCCACAAGGGGTTTTACCATGGCGGCCCGCCATGGTTAAATTTATGTGCGCCATGGTTAAACAAGCTGCGCCATGGTTAACATCGGCAGCCCCTATGATTAAATTTTATTGCATTTCAGTCCTGACACCTACTTTATTAATGACTTGAGTAGTTAATTGTGTTTATACTACGACTGCCATGCACCTCGCATGCCTCGAGGGAAAGCGGACTGTGCTAACAAGCACTTCGTTAATCTGCGACTATGCTGTAAAGTGTTACAATCAATGGAGAGTCAATCAGCTGATCAGATGATCAGTACTTTGAGAGCTAATTATACTGTACACATGTAATAATATTGGGGAACTTCAATATGTTCATTTCATGAATAGACTTAGATAACGGGTTTAATAAAAGCTGACAATTACGAGCATGATAATCGTCATGCATGCAATTCAAGTTTCTGTGCCAGAAAAAAATACTCTATAAAAATTTCACATTCCTCTGTTTTTTAATCAATTTCCCATGGTCTGTTTTTTAAGCTTTAAATTTATTATCTTCTTGATAAAATGTGCATAGGACCTACGTCTCAATCGCCGCCTAAGTTTTAATCGCCATCTTAGTCCAAGTTTTAGAGTTACTTCCCGTTGTTATGAAACGTCGCGTGGTGCTATTTTTAGCACTGGGCACGTGGGGAAGTAAACAAAATTAAACTTAGTGAAAAATGCAACATGTAGAAAAATAAAACGTTTAGAAAAAAGGGACACTGGTCCAAATGTTCCTTTGTGTGTTAACTTAAAAAATACTACAAATTCATCAGTTTTAGTCATATTGAACCAAAACATTTCATACAACAGGCTACAATTCTTATAACTATTAATTTCTGAAAAATATTGCCATTGTTACTGACTTAAAATATCAACCAATTTTCTTTAAATTCTTCTTGAACTTCAGAAGGTTACTACAGTTTTGGACACATTTTAATTGGTACATTTGTGAAGTAAAGATACATGATAAATCTTTTTTAATTTAATTATTTTTTTTTACTTTAAAAGGTGTTAGTTATATATTCTATTGTTTTGTGTTGCAGTGGGTAAGTTTAAAAATTGTAAAAGCAATCACTGATTAATGAAGATTAGGTAGTCTAACACGCATTCGTGTTTTCGGCCACATTTTGCCTTCGCGCAGCTTCCTCCATGGTTAAATTTTTAAATGTGGAGAACCCTGGAATTCTTTATTGCCTTTATAGACATAAAGCTTCTTTATTTTTTCTAAACAAACTACCTTTAGATCTATTCTAATCGATTTTAAGTGCATATCATCTTTTATGAGATTTGACTTTTTTAGAAAAAAATGAAATTCCATAAAATGGGGTATAGGTGTTCAAAAGGCTGTTTTCTGAAAATTATCTGGTCAACCCTAATAAAATATATGTTTTTGTTAACCTAAAATATAATTATTAAAGTTTTAAAGAAAAAATGGCATATAAACAGCTTAGATCTTGAGAGAATTATTAAAAATAAAAATATTTTGAGATTTTTTTTCTGAAAGACGTGGATAGATTCAACATCAATTTGTTAATGTTTTCCAATAAAGATTTCAAAAATCTTTTTTGCAAATGAATTTTTTTTTATTTTTATAAGTCTAATCATAAATTTGATGTGATTTGATACATATCTGAATAAATATGATATCAAACTTCTTTACGTTCAATTTTGATTTTGAAATATTTAGAGGTACACTGTATGTACTCTGGGACATGTTGTATGAAAAGTAACCTGCAAAGATATGTCTTTTATGGTTGTTTTAGTTAGTTTGACTTATTCAATGTATTCAAATGAAGAAATGATCAGTTTGACAGAAGATTTTGAACGTACGGACCTACCTTAACATGTAATGTAATTATTAAGACATGCAAGATATTTATGTGAACATGCTAGTTAATTGTATGTGAACATGCAAGAAAATTATGTTAACATGTAAGATATACAAATCTATATGTCAACATGCTAGTTAATTGTATGTGAACATGCTATATAATTATTATAACATGCAAGACATCTATGTCAACATGCAAGATAATAATTTGCGTATCAATATACGTATCTCGCATTTTAACATTAATATCTTGCATGTTGGCATAAATAGGTCGAATGTTGACCTACATAAATTGTATGTTGACATAAGGAAGTTGTATATGCTGACATAAATAAGCTGTATATCTACATAATTATCTTGCATGTTGACTTATATATGTTGCATGTCTACATTATTATGTTGCATATTAACATAGTTTATCTTGCATGTAGGAGACAGAAATATGACACCTACATACGGAGTTTATATACAATGTATCTATGTCGATTCAATACGCAAACGCATAATCTACCTATGAACAATTTCTAAAACTAGGTGAATTATTGACAAACAAGTTGTTGAAACAAAAATATCAACAGGCTCGTTTAAAGCCATCATTTCGTAAGTTCTATATGGTTGATACAATGACTTTGTCAACAAATACAATGTATTATTGAGCCAAATGCTGACTGATTTTTTTTCACACTAATAGTTAGGCCATTATCTATACACTGATTTGACGACGGATTTCTCCGGGGTTTTTTTCACGATCAAGGAGCACACGGCGGATGTGACCCGTCGACAGTGGATGCACACTCCTACACGGCACCTGATCCCAATTCTGATGTTATCGAGGTTTGCTCTGCTCCTATTTTGTATTGTTTTATGGACTTTTAATCTTGAATGCTGTTCGTTCTGTTTCACCATACAATCCCTTAATCAGGATTTCCAAATTTGCAAAACAAGAACAACAAAATGAAAATTAAGGAAAAAAAAACTTTTTGAAGAAGCATTAATTCAAGGCTCAAATCACGGATCTGGTAAACTTTGGTAAAGTATAATTTAAATAAGACTACAATATTGTCTTCACAAACATTTGATTGAACTTCTACAGTTCCAAATGACAATTGTCCTTAACATGAATTACTAAAATTAAATACAAGGAATATTGGTAGTATTGCATATTTTCAAGCATACCACCGTCCCATGCAGGTCCAGGATTAAATGATTTGTCAGCGTATTGATCCTTTGTGTCCCATAGTCCTCTCGTACGTATAGTGTACGTAATGTCTTCTGGAAGATCCGACACGTAGGACGGGTGCGGATCAAATACAATTCCCGTCTCCCAGTAGTAATTGTAATCACCGGGCTTGTGAGACCGTTTTATATAATTCATCATGTCCTTTTCATTTGCAAATCCTGAGAAAAAAATAAATATTATGAACTTCAGAATCACAAATTCAGAATATTTCTTTGAAATATTTGTGTTTATAACAAATCATTAATTTCAGAATATTTCATGAATATTCATGGCATGTAAATGACCTACCGATTATAAGGAAATAAAATAAACTGATTAACTATAAATGTCAAAATAGATAATATTTATTTCTCTTTCAATATTTCTAATGTAGACGGCTATAAGCATTTTATTACCTTTCAGGGGAAAAGATCCATATCTGTATTTTTCTGAAGTTAAAACAAATATGGCAGATTACTATTCATGCTATCTAACGAAGCAGGGGACATTTGTTTAAGGTAAAAGAAGAGGTGTCATATAGACAGGCAGTGTTTTTGGCGAATGCTACAGATTTTTGAAATATTGAATTGACATTTTGTTTTGGATTTTTAATATGTATTTTATTTTTTATCGTTAAAAATAATTAAAAATTTTATTAAATGACCCCCCAAAAAAGAAAATAATCAAAATAAATGTACATTCCGCACTGCGTTTCATCAAAGGTCTATATATAATTGCATATTTCAGTGAATAATCAAGAAATAATGAATAATATACTGTACCTCAAATTCACTATAATGTCTTTACCTACTATAATTTGTCTTGTGTTATTCATGAGGTTCTCAATCACGGTTGTATTTGGGACATAGAAAACTCTACTCATATAACAACTGTAGATGCTTTTCTCGTCGTACGTTGTGGCGTTCATGGTTCTTGGTTGAAAGTCCGCAAGGTTTCTGATCATTATCAGAACTAACGGGAAAACCAGTGGGAGAATAATTTCAAATACCGTCACACATATCTTACGTCTCTGAAGCAGAACATTTTTCCATGTTAATAAGGAGAATTGAGAGAATAGCCCTGCCACCATTGTTAAAATAAGCTGTGGATGGGTTTTTTTCTGCTTTGCACGCCTTGAATCTGAGGTTCCTAAAATAAAAATTTAGAGTTTTAAAAATTATATTTCCCTCATGTGTACAAGAATGTCGTTATACAGCGAAATATTTACATTTTTCCGAGATAAAACTGCAAAAATCATAAAAGCTTTATAACATCATAAAGCGATATGCTCAGCATTTCACGCTTTCGGTGTTTTTGCAATTAATAATGCGAGCAAATTGATTGATCACATCAGAAACCATACAAAAATCTAGACAAACTTTTCTTATAATTATCTCGGATTGAAAAACATGGATAAAACAAACAGTATTCAAACTCAAAAGTCTATTCAATCTATTCATACAAAATAGAAGCAAAGCAAATACGGACCTCCAAAAATTTGGAGGTCGGATCGGGCGCCATGGAGGAGTGTGCGTCCCCTGTCGACCGGTCACATCCGTCTTGTCATGATTGGGGAAACAGGGAATTCCGTTGACAATTCAGTAAGTAAATAATGTAACAATAAATATGAAAAAATGTTAGTCATCATTTGACTAAGATATAGAATGTATTTGCTTATAAGTAAAGGTTATAGGCCAAAAACTGTCCATTCTGTGAGAAGAAAGAACTGTTGGAGGGCCGTTAGGCCCGACAATAGTTGTTTTTTCTCACAGAATGGACAGTTTGAGGCCTATAACCTACTTAAAACATTTATCCCATTGTGTTCATAATGTACTCTCTTAGAACTTTTTCTCATCCATTGTATTAAGTTAGCATTGTCTACTTATTGGACTGTCTCAGGTGAGGGTTTTATGACAGTCAAAAGAAGTCAAAAGAAACTTGTATTCATTGTTATTGTTAACTTAGTGGACAGTTACAGGTAAGTTCAATTTTTAAACAACTGACTAAAGAATATTTAATCACAAGGCATGAGATTCCATCACCATTTTGATGTGATTGTGAATGTTGAAAGCATGTCTTCTTCCAAGGAAGCATATTTTGATGCAAAACAACTTCAGATATGAAGGGCAAATGCATACCGGGGTATGCCATTCTTGTGATATTGTGACTCCTCTAGGATTGTCAAGAAAATGAACTTTGAGCTCAAGGTGGACGTTTTATTTTTCAAATATTTCTCAACGTTTGATCAAGGGTTTTCAAGGATGCAGAAAAACAAAGGGAACGTAGAAAGGTTTCCGTAATTAAATCAACAATATTCAGATGATTTAGAAGAGGATAATCAGAGCAGAAATGTAAACGGGTACTTATTGTGTTTTTTAACTGACAGAGAGAATGTTACACGGTACCAAACGTTGATGTACGTTAAAGTGTTGAGTGATAAAGACATCAACAAAATTATAAGCTTTCTTTTCGCCGAAATCAGAAACAAATCGGGAGATGAGTAGACAAGGCTATTGACAAAACACCCTTGCATTCCTGTAGCAGAAAAACGATGGTTGTGTTTCTGTAGAAAAATGAGAAAAATTATTCAAAGTACTAGTGTGAAATAAGAATTTAAGGAGCGACTGTTTCTTGCCAGGAGAAGTGATATCCCCTCGTGTGTTGTTGGTGCAAACTACATTCTAATAGTATTCAGATCGAGATATTTCCTTCAAATTAAAGTTTTGATGTTCATTGTGAGCTGGAATATACATTTCATCATTTATTGGAATAATTACAATGTTTCAGTTTTTGTGACTTGGAATGGATTATTTAATTACACTGTGAAACTGTTGGATTCATTGCCTGAAAAATATTTATTTGTGTTTATTTGTGTTGTGTTTTCTTAATCTAGTAAGTTACCTGTAGCCATCCAATAAGTAACTGAAAACTGTCCATTATTTTTAATAATGGACAGATTTTTAAACTTATTGGACAGTTTCAGGTAACTTATTGGACTGTTTTGAGCCTTGCAAGAAATAGAAAGAATTAAAAGGACAAAAAATGATGTCATACTACTGTTTTAAGTAAATAGTATTGACCAAAGAACCATAGCTAGAGCCGTTGAAAATCTTGTTATATCAACTTTTTTATAAATAATTTACCTCGTTTTAGAAATTTTTCAAACGATAAGCATGCTCTCACGTATCGAATCAACTGAGAGATATAAACCCCCGTATGCAGGTGTTAATTGATGAGGGTATATTGCTGCATTAGTATAGGAAACTAACGAGAAAAGTTAGTCATCGCGTTTATCAGAAAGCTCGATCTAGTAAGATATCGAGATATGAAACAGATTTGTCTGGTGATATCTTTTATTTCAAGTTCACGGGGATATATCGTGTCTAAATATGAATGGAAATAACCATTATTAATTGACAATATGTCGTCAATATATTTCAATGTCGAGTTGAAGGCTGCAACAATCGTTTTCTTCTTTTCATGTATCAGATGAATGCAATAAGTTTATGAATGATTATACTATTGATTATTAAGAAAAACTCTTTATTTTTATACCATATAACTTACATTGACTCCAGTATACATGCTAAGTTTGGAGAAAATCTGCCGTCCAAGTATTTTTGAAGAATCGTCTCAAAATAAGATAAATTTACTATTAATAGGACTAGGACTATATAGGAAAGTGCCCTCTAAAGGGCTCGCACTCTAAAGCAAATTATTCAAATACTACAACATATATATAAGAAGGGGTAATAAAGTGATATAAATGAAAAATTAATAAATATATGCTCTTGAAATTTAAAACATAAAAAGTTGAGAATCTCTCCATCATTTTTATCATTTTTAAGTATAAATCTTTTGTTATCATTAAGTTGAATGTTGACTAATTGTAGCTGTTATTCAACTGAATATGATAAAAGTATGGATGAAAATCATTTGATTATTGTACCTTTGAATGTATTTAATCAATTTGTAAAAGCTCTTTTGATACACTGTTTGATATTTTATAAAAGTTTTTTGCACATGCAATCAGTAAATGTATCATAATTTTGAATTGATTACTAGAAAAGTGTAAAGTTTCCTTTAACTGATACTAGGTTAGTGCCACATGGTACTGGTATATCATGTATATTGAACTGTCAATGAGAAAAATGTCTAAATACGTCAAATCACAGGATTAGGTAAGGAGTGCACTATCTTGTAGTTTGGTATGGTATTAAATATTAAACTACTATTTTTTTCTAATTAACTACGGATATGCTTGAGTGACTGTATTTTGATAAGCAGTGAAAATAAAATAATTCTTAAGCATTTGAATTATTTTGATTATTATTTTTTTTTGGTCTCTGCAAGTTTAATGATTGCAAATATGCATATTGAACATGACATCCACATATTGCTATACTTCATGCATATGGGGCATAGCGTTTACTGAATCTTAATCACAATCTTGAAATTTTATGTACATGTAGAACATTGCTCATGGTTTCAACTGGTCAACCATATTTAAGGAATCAATGTCTAGCTAGTAGAAGTCCTGGCATAGGCTACAACTACTAGCTAGACCGTGATTCCTTTTATTTCCATTTCATTGTGAAATAAAACTGTAAATTTAGATTTAAAAAATATATACTAAAAGATTTAAATTCTACGCGCCATTCCCATGCCAATTTCAACAGTTCCCGCCCACTGACATCATACACAAAGCCAGCCGCACAAGATTTACTTGCATATTAGACCTCCTTAGCGTCAAACTCAAAGACAGACGCACACAAGATTCACATGCATATTAGGCCTCCAAAGCTTCTGACCAATATTGCTTTGCCTAATTTACATTCCGGTAGAATTATGAAGAAATCAACTTCACTAACTTTCAAAGAGTTATCACAGAGACTGAAAACAAATAGAAATATTCTTCAGTCACAAAGTATTTAAACAGATATAGATATTTGTTTCCCACAGTGGAATTCAAACACATGACATAAGGATCAACTCCTTACTCATATACTCTAGAGGATAGGCCCTTACCACTGTACTACGTAGGCGACAGTATTGAGAGTTAATCGTGGATATCAGAACAAGCTACTCTGGGCTTATACTCTGTATATAAGACTTGTATGCAATGACGATAGTTTTATATACAAATATAGTTTTATATACAAGGTAACCTAACCTAACTGATCATGTTGAGTCATATTAGCACAAATATCTTTCAGCAAACCTTGACGGATGATCATGAGAAATCTTCAGTTGACAACTAAATAAAATAATTTCGATGAAATGTATTGGAGTCAAAAAATGTGTCAAAGATTGTGTGTAAATGTTGTGATGTCTATTATGAAATGATATGCATTCTTTTTCATAATTATATATGAATTATTCGTGTATATTTTGAATGATTGGTGTTTGTTTACAATTTTTCTATCAAATATGATCTCTTTAAATAGAAAAATACATTATCTGCACCGTAAATCTGAAAGTTTCCCCAAACATTCATTTTTTTTAATAATTAAAGTTCATTTAATAATTAAAGTGCAAAAAGGTCAAGAAATGTAGAATTGGTAAATATAAACCTATTTCTCGTTAGTTTGTGTTGGAAGGTAAATATCTTAATCACTTTTTATAATCATTTGGATATGTTCTTCATCATATTAAAGATTAAAAACTTTCTGACAAAGACTTCTGAATGTTTTTTTTTTTACAAATTTAGGGTGGAAAATTGACTGATAAAAGTAGACTTCATTTGCCTACATTTTATTCCACGTGGACTCATCTTTTATGTTGAATAAAAAAGAATTTACTCTTAAGAAGTGTTGCTTAATAATGCTCAGTCAATAAAGTCTATAAACGACGAGATTTAAAGAAGTATTTGTTTTGATTTTTCATATTCTCTTCATGACAAGTACACCTAAAAATGACTGACAATGTGAAGTATGTAAGTATGTAATTACCATTCTTAAGCCACAAGTCATATCTATGAAAATATACACTGGTCTCCATAAGCCATATGAGAGATACATAAAATATTAGGGAGACCACGTTTTCATATATATTTTTAGGAGGCAGGTTTAATGAAAAAATAAAGCAAGAATCGCCTAAATGGTGTTCTA